GACGTATGATCTCGACAACAAGAGCTAATACTCGTGATTTTATATTCCGACTTTTAAAGCAGGATACTTTAAAGTTTGAAATCCAGCGCTGTCTCACTGACTTGACAAAGTCTTGGTGTGATAGACGGTTTTTGTCTTCTTGTCTGGGATCTATTGTTTCGTGTACATTGAAGACAAACTGTGCAATGTCCAGTTAGTGTCAATGATTTACCCATTACTTTACTATACCAGGTTGCTTTATTTGTCATTTTCTATCCAGTTCCAAAGAAGCTCGCTAAAGTAAACAAACGGTTCATAGGGCCTGTATCACTCTGGTTTAGTTTGCTGAAATTGACTCATTGAAACTAAAGGAAAAGTATTTAAAATATTTGTATCTAGTTCCCCTATTAGGCTCCATCCTTTATACCAACCAGATTTCCCTTCACCAACGATATTTCAGACCAAATATGGGCAAAATTTAATCATTCCTAGTGAAGGGGTGGGACCCCGCCGATTCCATCCAAGGGGTACGAGATCTTTCGTTTTCACAAATTGATTCCTCTTCAGCAAAGATGCTTAAGACCAAATATGGACAAAATCCTCAAGAAGGGTAAGATTTTCAAAGAATTCGAACTATTTTCCCTATTGGGCCACGCCCCTCCCGCCCCAGGGAACCGAAAGCTGAAGTTAATACAAAAGTATTTTCCCTGTAACAAAGAATACTCCATACCAAATTTGTGTAAAAATTCAATCATTTCCGCAGGAAGAGTAGTATTTTTATTCTCTATTGGGTCCACGATCCATCCTGCCCTAGGGACCGAGACCTACTGTTCTAACATAACTTATTTCCCTTCACACGCTGTGTAGTTCACGATTAGTAGCGATTTATATGTTAGATTTATTAACAGACGACGGACGCCGCGGTACTTGTCCTTTCGTGTAGCAGACTCATTCTGATCTCTACTACCCTTCGTTTCACTCTTCATATCGATAAGCAAGGGCCGATAATGGCATATACTTCGTTCATCACGGAGAGTTTGGTTAGCTTAAAACGGCACTATAGAGTTTTGACTATAGAAACTTAGCAGGATTGTAGTCCCCGACGTTGTCGACAATCTCAGATAGATGTAGAATCTCGCAAAAATCGAGTTATGGGAATATTTGTGGTTAACCATGCAAAAATCGAAATTTTTCTCAAATTTCTTTTCGCTCGCCATAACTTTTGAACGGGAAATTCCTCCTTCAGACGCAATCAAACAGAAACACATGCTAATCACCTACCAAAAGAAATAACCACATTTTTTTACATCTGAATATTTCCCCAAAACTTTTCAACCTGTGTAAATGCGTTCACCGATATTGAAATATGCTTGAGACTAGACATTTTCATGAAAACCAGTATAGTCAGATTTCTTTCGTAAGAAAATTTCCCATCGATGATAGATATAATCCCCTTGTGACACAATAATTTACGACATTTAAGCGAAACAAAATCAGACTACCATCAGGGCTGTGTATCGCTGAGCGACTTACTTGTCTATCCAAGTTTTCAATACCACAAAATCTTTTTCATTGCATTTTGAAAAGAAGAAACTCTTCTGGTTCTTTAAGTAAAAAATCTTTCTTTCTCTCGTTCAGTCTGAGAAACCCCTACAGCATGGTCCTCTAGTATAAGTAGGTCTCCCGTGATTACTAACAGCACATATTTGATTTTGAAACAGATTGAAAAGAAGGGAAACAAGTGAAAAGATCCAACTGATAAGAACTTCAGATAATTCAATGATAGGCGCCAAGATCCCGCTGGTACATTTTTTTTATCTCTTCAATAAATACATCAATTTTCCGTAATCTTCTTTATCAGTGTAATCAGATGTTCATTACAATTAAATGAGATTTAAGACCCCATAATGCACCTATCATACATATAACATAATGTGGTGTTCCTTGCTAATATGTCTATCTAAAATGAATGGTTGTCATGACTTTACGTAGATAACAGTCTGGGGTAAATCTATGTAAAAATCTTCAACTGGATTAAAATTCATATGACCAGTATTTGTGCTATTATACCACTACTGGTCTGATGTGATCGGAATATTTGTATTTGACATTAAATTGATGCATCAATTGGTAACATTTGTTTGAAAGCGTGTCCTGAAGTAATTTCACTCTGCCCAACACGATTCAACAGAAACCTTATAATTATGTTTTACTAAATGAATTATTTAGAATTATAAAAAAAAAACAATCTATTAGGAAACGATATAAGTTTTTAAATGTCTGTCAGATGCACGTTATGAAAAGAGATTACAAAGTTTCGGATAATTTTCCACGTGCCATTATTTTCAGTTTAAGTGTCAAAAGAATACACTGTGTTAGTTGTTTACTCGTTGAATTTTAAACAGACTAACACATGAGGATTTGGTGGTGAATAGTGTCACCTGCGGGTGTTCCTTTTGTACCAACTGAATATTTGTTATGTTTCCGTATTTTGTATCCTAGAACTTTAGAAATGAACTTCTCTCGTTAAAATGATATCAGATTGACATAATAAAAGTTACAAGATCTAACAAACCTCTTCGGTATCGTTGCCTTTCTCAAGTCAATTGGATATCATTGTGGTCTGTACATAACGGATTTGTAACTCCAAGAAAGACAACTCTCGTCAAAAGTCTAGACACTAATGAAGTGGGCGAGGGATAATGGGATGTACTTAACATTATCATTGATGAACGACACTGATACGGACCCCTGTGACAATACTAACACACTGACAGGACCCCTGTGACAATACTAACACACTGATACGGACCCTGTGACAATACTAACACACTGACAGGACCCCTGTGACAATACTAACACACTGACAGGACCCCTGTGACAATACTAACACACTGATACGGACCCCTGTGACAATACTAACACACTGATACGGACCCTTTGACAATACTAACACACTGATACGGCCCCCTGTGACAATACTAACACACTGATACGGACCCCTGTGACAATACTAACACACTGACAGGACCCCTGTGACAATACTAACACACTGATACGGACCCCTGTGACAATACTAACACACTGATACGGACCCTTTGACAATACTAAAACACTGATACGGACCCCTGTGACAATACTAACACACTGACAGGACCCCTGTGACAATACTAACACACTGATACGGACCCCTGTGACAATACTAACACACTGATACGGACCCCTGTGACAATACTAACACACTGACAGGACCCCTGTGACAATACTAACACACTGATACGGACCCCTGTGACAATACTAACACACTGACAGGACCCCTGTGACAATACTAACACACTGATACAGACCCCTGTGACAATACTAACACATTGATATGGACCCCCTGTGACGGAATGGAAAAGGATGTTGACAATGTCAAGGTCATCATGACAATACAATGATATGGCCAATACATATGTATCATAAAAGGTATATCCCCGACAGAATTGGGGCACAGAAAATGCGACAGAATTGGGACACAGATACTCCGACAGAATTGGGACACTGATAATCAGACAGAATTGGGACACTGATAATCAGACAGAATTGTGACACAGATAATCAGACAGAATTGTGACACAGATAATCAGACAGAATTGTGACACAGATAATCAGATAGAATTGTGACACAGATAATCAGACAGAATTGTGACACAGATAATCAGACAGAATTGTGACACAGAAAATCCGACAGAATTGGGACACAGATAATCAGACAGAATTGTGACACAGATAATCAGACAGAATTGTGACACAGATAATCAGACAGAATTGGGACACAGAAAATCCGACAGAATTGGGACACAGATAATCAGACAGAATTGTGACACAGATAATCAGATAGAATTGGGGCACAGATAATCAGACAGAATTGTGACACAGATAATCAGACAGAATTGGGGCACAGATAATCAGATGTAATTCGGACACAGATAATCAGACAGAATTGGAACACTGATAATCGGACAGAATTCGGACACAGATAATCAGACAGAATTGTGACACAGATAATCGAACAGAATTGGGGCACAGATCATCGGACAGAAATGGGACACAGATAATCAGAAAGAATTAGGACACAGATAATCAGACATAATTGGGACACAGATAATCAGACAGAATTATGACACTGATAATCAGACAGAATTAGGACACAGATAATCAGAAAGAATTAGGACACAGATAATCAGACAGAATTGAGGCACAGATCATCGGACAGATTTGGGACACAGATAATCGGACAGAATTGGGACACAGATAATCAGACAGAATTGGGACAAAGATAACCAGACAGAGTGTAACACAGATAATCAGATAGAATTAGGACACAGATAATCAGATAGAATTATGACACAGATAATCGGACAGAATTGGGGCACAGATCATCGGACAGAAATGGGACACAGATAATCAGACAGAATTGGGGCACAGATCATCGGACAGATTTGGGACACAGATAATCAGACAGAATTGGGACACAGATAATCAGAAAGAATTGGGACACAGATAATCAGATAGAATTGGGACACTGATAATCAGACAGAATTGGGACAAAGATAACCAGACAGAGTGTAACACAGATAATAAAATAGAATTAGGACACAGATAATCAGACAGAATTGGGACACAATTGGGAATTAGGAGAGAGAAGTTGTATTTCCGATTGAACGAGTTGATATGAAACTCTTTCAACAAATGTTTATGCTTCTGGACGAGTACTGTACCTTTCTATAATATATCATCATGGTCTCAATCATGTACCATGTTTAATTGTTTTTACGACCTGTGACAGAAAAATGATAGACAAGCAGTTCTCTATAAGTCGTTTTCTTTGTTACGTGATAATTTGTAGGGTTGATTCAGTTGAGATATCATATATGTAGGTCAGTTAAATTCTACAAAGTCTTGTAAAACTTGTATTAAACTATACCATAATTCCAACCAGAGTAAAATAACGCATATTCTCAAATCATCCTTTTATATTTTACATTTCGCTTAAAACAAATTACATGTACAATCACAACAAATTAAAATTTAAATAATTTGTTACAACGCAGTTTATCTCCAACGTCGTCTGAAATATATATATATATATATTATGTATTTGGCATTCAACGGGTCCACTTGTAATATACAAATGTTCACGTAGTATCTATGCTCGCACCTTCAACTAGGACATCAAAACGTAACACAAGTATATTTCAAGTACAACACCTATAGAATGGATATATAAAACATTAAAACCGACTAGTTATCAACGCGCACTCTCACTGCTGTTATGATATCAAATGCTAAATTTGAGAAGTGTTAATGGATCTTATAACCATATGACATATTACCGGTGTAGCGTTCATGACTATAACATACGGCATATTACCGGTGTTTCGTTCATGAATATAACACATGACATATTACCGGTGTAGCGTTCATGATTATAACATACGGCATATTATCGGTGTTTCGTTCATGAATATAACACATGACATATTACCGGTGTAGCGTTCATGACTTTAACATACGGCATATTACCGGTGTTTCGTTCATGAATATAACACATGACATATTACCGGTGTAGCGTTCATGACTATAACATATGACATATTACCGGTGTATCGTTCATGACTATAACATATGACATATTACCGGTGTTTCGTTCATGACTATAACATATGACATATTACCGGTGCATTGTTCATGACTATAACATTTGACATATTACCGGTGTGTCATTCATGACTATAACATATGACATATAACCGGTGCATTGTTCATGACTATAACATATGACATATTACCGCTGTACCGTTCATGGTTGATAAAATACTTATGAATCCTCAGTTTTCACAGTATCAGCTAAGGTATTGTCGTCTTGTTCGTGTTGTTCTGTAAGGTCTATCAAACTGCGTACATCGGCTATGTTTATTGATGGAATGGCAGAATCATCTTTTACGTGATTAAGTAAAGGAGAACTTTTTAAAACTCGTCTTCCTGTTTCTTTATCGAGAAGATACTTGCGTCGGTTCTGTAGAGCCTCACGGAGGCGATTCCACACTAGTTCAGAATACGCAGCCAGTTGCGGAGCAGTAGAGATGACGTACTGCATAAAACCGTCACGTTTCTCGTGGGTGATGTCTTTCCATAAAGGGGCCGAGTCCCATATGCGAACAGATTGTGCAGCGTTCCTTATCAACACAGTCCCTAACCGCTGTGCCTCAGTGGGGCGTCCTCTCACGGGTTTTTTTCCTAAAAGTTCTTCGCCTGAAAACCTGGAAATGCTGCTGGAAACCAAACTCAACATAAACGCTCCCGATTCATCATATCGATGTGGATTTGGCATGGCTTGTTGACTTTGAGACTGCTGTCCGTGATGTTTTTCATCTGCCATCGGCATCATTTGTTGACTGGTTTCCGCTTTTACTGTGGGAGAATGTTGACTTTGTGCTGGCGATGAACTTGGAATAACTTGTGTCAAGCAAACAGGATAAGGGATCCCGGGGCCCTGTTTATGAAGCGGAGACGACTTATTGCCTTTAGTCCTCAGCTCCTCTTCAGTGCTGGAAACAGTCGCATTCATCAACTGCGGGCTCCCATATGGAAACACAGGACTTTGTTCCTGTTTCTGTTCTTGTGACTTGGGCCGAAGATCGATACACACGCCCGATGTATTGTCTGTTCTTGTCTCGGGTGGCTCCCGTTTAATGTGATCTATTGATAATCGCCTTTTCACTCCTCCAGAACTGTAACTGTCATTTTGCAATCTAGATGACATATTAATTGACTGGGAACCCCCGCTTCCAAATGAAGAGCGAGACGTTTCTGTAGGAGGCATGAACAATTGTCTGTCATGAAGAGATTTCATTGATGCATTAGGACTAGAGAAGGGTCGATGTTGATCTGAATTATTCTGATAAAGTGTGCGCTGCTCTGACACCCTCGGTGGCTGCTGCGAAGGTCGGGATGACTGTGTAACAGATTGGGCTGCGGAGTGCGGACTCTGTGTGGAGGGTTTCACCGGCTGTCCCAGTTTCAACTCCCGGATCACTTTGCGCACCGTAAACCGATCTTTAAACACCGTGAAGGCGTCCCTGATATCTTCCTCACAGAACTGCATAAACATGTCTCCGCTGATTCCATTTCCTATATCATCAAATAAAATCATCTTTTAAGACAGGGTTATTCAAATTGGTCAAATCCGTATATCTTTCAACAGTAAAGTTTTTTATCTTATTGGCAATTAACGGATTCTATAAACAAACATCTTTTAAACAGGAGCTTGAAACGAAAGAGAGGCCGAACATTAGTGAAGACTATTAAATAACAGTGACAGACATACGTCACTCTGACAGGATAAAGAGCCCACCAGTATACCAGTAAATGATCGCTCTTAATACTGCATTAAAGTTGAATCGTGCACATGTCATGTAAAGATGTTTTAGAATTGAATTCATATGGATTCTGTGTCTGATTTCGCTGCCTTATGAGTGTGTTACTAACTGGCATTTAACGATGTGGGATGAAGCTAAATCATAAAGATGAAATCCGAATCAAGTCGGAATTTAATGTTTGGGGAGTTGTAGTGGGGAGCCATTATCATAGAAATACTGACTCGAGCCAATATTATAGAAATACTGATTCGAGCCAATATTACAGAAATACTGACTCGATCCATTATCATAGAAATACTGACTCGAGTCAAAATTATAAAAATACTGACTCGAGCCAATATTACAGAAATACTGATTCGAGCCAATATTACAGAAATACTGATTCGAGCCAATATTATAGAAATACTGACTCGAGCCAATATTACAGAAATACTGACTCGAGCCAATATTACAGAAATACTGATTCGAGCCAATATTATAGAAATACTGACTCGAGCCAATATTACAGAAATACTGACTCGAGCCAATATTACAGAAATACTGACTCGAGTTAATATTATAGAAATACTGACTCGAGCCAATATTATAGAAATACTGACTCGAGTTAATATTATAGAAATACTGACTCGAGCCAATATTATAGAAATACTGATTCGAGCCAATATTACAGAAATACTGACTCGAGCCAATATTACAGAAATACTGACTCGAGTTAATATTACAGAAATACTGACTCGAGTTAATATTACAGAAATACTGACTCGAGTTAATATTATAGAAATACTGACTCGAGTTAATATTATAGAAATACTGACTCGAGTTAATATTATAGAAATACTGACTCGAGTTAATATTACAGAAATACTGACTCGAGTTAATATTACAGAAATACTGACTCGAGTTAATATTACAGAAATACTGACTCGAGTTAATATTTTAGAAATACTGACTCGAGTTAATATTACAGAAATACTGACTCGAGCCAATATTACAGACTAGTTAATTAGGAGCTGAAATTACAGAAATACTGAGAGTCACAGTTGGAGAACAAACAGGTGCTAATAAGAGAATTGGAGGAGGGGATATAGAGGAGGGGGATATGCTAGAGGTAAAATGTTTGGAGAAAGGATAAGTCAGATTTGGATAAGAGAAGGCATTAGTCAGATATACACACCTCGGACACTGTCTATACCCTCTGGCGATATCCCTTTGCTCTTCAGAAAACTCGCCAGCTGGTCACATCCCAAATTCATCGTGAAGTCAAGTCTGCAACATAAAGAGAAATTATTATCTACATGCAAAACACATATTGTTTATCATGTGTAAATTCTGTCGCATGACGATGATTGTTTCACCCGTAATACCTTTCCGCTAAACCGTAAAGTATGGCAAACCAAAGTGGTCAAAAGTCACTGTTTATACTCATAATTCATTAACAGTGTAGATAGCTCTTGTGTGCTTTCCATCGAAACTCCTCGGATTCTTCCAGTAGTTATTTATAGATAACGAGAGTTTACGAAATCGTTTCTTAGTATTCACAAGGAATGTCAAAATTTTATCAACCTGTAAAAAACACAGCAACTGTGGTTGGTACTGTCGATCACTCTTGTTCTGTTTGTTGAATGGACGACACTGGATAGTAACTTATTTACTTTGTGTGCATATATGCTTAGGGATTGTGCTCGCTTGACAGGGAAGGATATCAAATATATTTATATATACTGTATTTTGTAGTTGTGGTGTTAAATATGCATGATTCTGTATGTTTATTCAGACTATCATTTCCTTTATACAAGCCTCTGACAAGTCATGAATAAGAAAGAAATATTATGCTATTTTAAAGGTCTCATAAGGAGATGCATTAAACATCTTAAATATAGTTTACAGTTTTTTTTTAAATACAGGAAAGCACGTTTGTCTGTAAAATTTAAGCAATGTCGGCTCCTTTAAGCGAGATCTTTTGTCTCTACGTTTTAGATGAGATCTCTTGTCTCCACGTTTTAGATGAGATCTCTTGTCTCCACGTTTTAGATGAGATCTCTTGTCTCCACGTTTTAGATGAAGCTTTTGTCTCCACGTTTTAGACGAGATCTATTGTCTCCACGTTTTAGATGAGATCTCTTGTCTCCACGTTTTAGATGAGATCTTTTGTCTCCACGTTTTAGATGAGATCTCTTGTCTCTACGTTTTAGATGAGATTTATTGTCTCCACGTTTAAGACGAGATCTTTTGTCTCCACGTTTAAGATGAGATCTTTTGTCTCCACGATGACATAATTTCGATAATGTAATCTGCAGGTGCGAGATTGTAATATCAAAACCTTTTGAGAAAGAGCTTTTTTCTGAAATGATTAATCATAACACGGAATCATACAACTGTACAACGTAATATGTTTTGTAATCGCAGTCAGCACCGTCTTTTCCAGAAGGAACTGTTGTGATAAATTATCTGTATGTGAATTTTACATGTGGTGCTCTGCACTTATCGTCTATGAGTGGGTGGTACCTGTAATAAAACATGTACGTATTTCATGTATTCTCCTCTGTCTTGTAAATATAAATAGGTATATAATACTATGTATCTTACAATCCTATATTTGTTGTTACATTCTGAGTATATACAAAACTGTGGCGTTCATTACAATCTGATTTTCTGATTTAAACATATTTATTGCCCCAAAATTGAGCAGAGGATTAAGCACAAGTTATTTCAACTTATGACCGCCTTTTCCTCTAATACAATACATGATAATATTTACATGATAACATTAACAAGGCATACATAATATATTTAACAATTAGTACATTTTACTTCAAATCTGTTGCTGGATTTGATAAAGATTTACACGTGTCTGAATACTTCTGTATTGGTAGTTCGTTCATTACAATCGATTACCATTGTCATATATCCTGTCCATTTATTTATTTATTTATTTATTTATTTATTTATTGGACTTAATGTCCACTATTACGGCCTTTTGGCCATTCAGCGGACGAGCATCATCCTTCCTAGTCAGGTAATCTATGGCTGATCACTATCTAAAAAATATTCAGGGAGCAATCTTGAATCGAAGCAAAATATATAATATATAACCTTGTGTAATAATATATAGAATATACAACCAGTAGAAGATTAGAGTGTGACGTTTCGATAACCACATCATATTCATCTTATAACACAACAAGTAGAAGAATGTGACGTTCTGATGACTACAGTTCTTATAACACAACCAGTAGAAGATTAGAGTGTGACGTTTCGATAACCACACGGTCACATTCATCTTATAACACAACAAGTAGAAGATTAGAGTGTGACGTTCTGATGACTACACGGCAACCTTCATCTTATAACACAACCAGTAGAGGATTAGAGGGTGATGTTCTGATGACTACACGGCAACCTTCATCATATAACACAGTCAGTAGAAGATTAGAGTGTGACGTTTCGATAACCACACGGTCATATTCATCTTATAACACAACAAGTAGAAGATTAGAGTGTGACGTTACGATGACTACACGGTCATCTTCATCTTAAAACACAACAAGTAGAAGACTAGAGTGTGACGTTCTGATGACTACACGGCAACCTTCATCTTATAACACAACCAGTAGAGGATTAGAGGGTGATGTTCTGATGACTACACGGCAACCTTCATCATATAACACAGCCAGTAGAAGATTAGAGTGTGACGTTTTGATGACTACACGGTCACCTTCATCTTATAACACAACCAGTAGAAGGTTAGAGTGTGATGTTTCGATGACTTTACGGCAACCTTCATCTTATAACACAACCAGTAGAAGGTTAGAGTGTGACGATTTGATGACTACACGGTTACATTCATCAGACAAACAGCGTGGAGCGTTTACAAAAAACTATATACATTTATTGGATATCTTAGGCATACGTCATCATAAAAGATGTATTTCATAAAGTTAAAAAGATACATGATTAAATATAATTTCTACATACCTACATGTACATTGTAGTATATAATAATGAAGAAATCTTACACTTCCATCAAATATTGAAACATAATATATTGTGAAATACAACAAGTCTGTATATATGTTCTTTCTGTTTCACGTGCATTGTAGTAGCAAATACAATAACACGTTATATTGTCATATGTCTAAACAACACGGCATAACAAAGGCAGCATCAATTAACGTATAAACCATTTGTATTTTCGGAGTATCTCAATTTTACTAAATACAAAATCGACAGGAAATGTGCACTGAAGTTGACAACTACGGTAACCATTGTACTAATTATTCTATACGAGACGACTTGTACCCATGGAAACCACTTCAATGGCAATGGACACTCTCACCCATTATCCTAATGGTGTCACGTGATTCTGTCTTGCAGTGGGTTATTTTTACATGAAGGCTGAACAGTTAATATAGTGTTTCATAGCGTGACATCATTGGTTTAAATCTATATATTAATTCCTTACAACACCAATCCAATGAAAGTATTAAGAATGCAATTAAAACTACAGACAGTTAAACGAAAAACGTAAATATATACACGCATGTCTCGCAGATCAATTCCTCGGTAGGCCTAGTGCTAGTCTGTGTGTTCGTGATCATTATCACTGCCTACAACCCCGGCGGCCAACTTTTACTACTATTACAAGGGCCATCTTGGAGAGCAAAACATACACATTCCGTACTACAATGCACATAATATTATCTTGTTTATATTACACAGAAAAGATCCAATCCGTTCATTACCTGTGAAACAGAGGTTAAGTTTCCATTAAAATTCAACCCACTTAAACCACAGCGACGTCAACAATGGCGGCCGTCCTGTATGCAGTGCAAGCTGTGGACATCGGTCGAAAACACTGGCGCACAAGATGTTGTCGGTATAACTAGGTCATGGGGCTATCCAGTCCTCGGCCGTTATAAGTAGATACTTCATGCTGTTTTAATGATAGACTAGGCCTGAAAATGTTCACGATGTAATAGCCTAGGTTAAAATGACTGACATGTGTATCTGATCCAGCAACTTATAGCAGACGACAGTAGAAATAATTGATAGCGCGCAAGCTATTTTTAGTCGTAGGTTACTTACTCATTAAATGCTGTTATGTCGATCGATATGCTGTTCGCTCAGGCATGACAAATTTAATGGCCGTCGAACGTTTAACTCATTCTGTTATAGTCTGTTTCACATATATCGTCCATGCTGATCTAACTCTGATTTGTAACTTGGAGCATAGTTCTTGTTCGCCGCATACGCCCGAGCACATAATACTATCTGGACCTATCCCGACGTGTTTATAACAGTTTAAGATGTGATGGCGACTTAACCAACATGTCTAAAATGTAACCAACATGTCGTGGTAGGCCTAGATACGCCCGTAACAAAAGATAGGTCCACGGCCAAGCAAAGGGGATGGTAATAAACTGTACTGACATGCTCCCTATCTATATATTGTGTAATTATCGATGGTGAGAACAGCTGGAAGTAGTTTTCTAATGCAATAACAGAAAATATAGCATTGAACCGCGATGAAAAGATACAGACATGATATATACAAATACGCAGGTATACGTGTAATGTTTTATAAATCCTCAATTAAAGTTTAAGTTTCCAGTGTCATTGTAATTGTAAATATTGTACATTTCTGATGTCAAGTACTTGTTAGAATGGTAAACTCAAAGTGTCATAGACCGTAAATAAAGTCTTTTATTGTCATTATCATCATCATTATCATTATTATTATTATTATTATCATTATTATTATTATCAGGGACGTATAATACAGATTTATATGTCCCTGTTATTACTATATTGTTTTGAAAATGATCATGCTTTCTATTTCAAAGTCCATCATCGAATTTTGCAACTTCAAGCTAAGCTGTGTCTTTCGACAAAAATCTTTATCATGATATTGTTCTGGAACGCATGCTTCGGATTCTGTGAGGTAAGACATCCAGCTTATACAAGGAGACCAAGGCTGAAAATGACCGTGGTAATTGATGGGGCGGTAAGTTCATCAAACAAACTCAAAGGTATTTTATTAAAATTAGTGATTAAGTTTGATAAAATTAAATTAACGAGTATTTGTACATCATAGCATATACGTATGTAACACAGATACCACATGTGTTATATACATCTCTGATCATATTGATATGTTTATGTGCAGTGCTACATGTATGTCGTATTTTTATTTTATATGTATTGTTTAGTCTGTGATAACAAAGAAAAGTATCGCCTTGTTTATTTTCAATAGAATCGGTTCAGATAAGTTGCATAATACAAATTTTATGTACCTTGTCCCTTTATATTGGTAATTCCATAGAGAATAAAAATCTAGCATTCCCTTTCTCTCTTCTCAAATTATCTTGTCCGACCTCTATCGAAAAAGGTTGAGGAAAACAAAGAGTTGTCTCCCTTCTATCGCGACGAGAGCGTAGGAGAAGCCTGATACATCATGTAGATGACATATTGATCATAAGAAAGCTTTAAACACGGTTTTTAAAATTCATCAATAATGTCACCATTGATTTGCAGCCCTGTTGAAATATTCTTAATTTCCCTTGCTTCCAAAAATTTCTTTGAAAATGTTAATTATATGAATAAATAATAGATGGGATTTTGATTATTTCGTGTCTTAAGTCATTCAAAGCACGTGAAATATAGTACGCATGTATTTTACTGAAAACTCATATCTGTTGTAAAATTGTTGTCTTATTATAGCTTGCTGTGTTAGTAAGAATAGAATGTGAGTTTTGAGACGAGATCAGGTACATTATGAAAAAACAGGATGCAAATAACCCGAGACCAAAGTTTATCTGACACCACGTAAAAGGAACAATTAGTAATATTCATGTTATATATTCCACTGTCGTTCATAACAAAATTCAATGAGATTCTGTCTATCTTCCCACGTTTGTCACTCTCGGTCCCATTAGCTGTCGACCTATACCACTAACCGAGTGGAGCGAAGGGCAGTAACTCTGGGAAGTCAGAATGACTTCTACGTTTGATTTTAAAATTTGACAATTTCTGACATGGCGGCCTCATTAAGATTGTGTACCTAGAGTTTTAGATATGAGTTGGATATTTGACGGGATAATGTAGGGAATGAAAATAACCCACAGATAAGTCTGTAAACTATTAACACTGCATCTCAGTTGAATCGTGTACATACCATGTAAATGTGTTTTTGAAGCTAATTCATATGGATTCTGTGTTTGATTTCGCTGCCAGGTGAGTGTCCGACTAACTGAAATTTAACGATGTTTGATGAAGTCTGGCGACGGTTTTATATCATGATATTGAGTGAATCCTATCAAAAATAAAGTGGGGAAATCTGTTTATTCAGACCAATCCCAGGGAAATGTCTTGAACGGTTTAATGACAATCGTATGTTTCCAGATATTAAATTGCTAGGCCGATAAAGCTACGAATCTTCTTATCAATATGAACGTATTGACAGAGGATCCCAGTGCTAGTGACACCCTTCCCATTTCTACTGTGGACACGTCGTACATCATCACCATTCCCCATCACTGATGACCCTGTCGTGATGAAGACTAGTGACAACCCACTTCTACTGTGGACATGTCGTACATCATCACCATTCCCCATCACTGATGACCCTGTCGTGATGTAGGCCAGTGACAACCCACTTCTACTGTAAACATGTCGTACATCATCACCATTCCCCATCACTGATGACCCTGTCGTGATGTAAACTAGTGACACCCAACCCACTTCTACTGTGAACATGTCGTACATCATCACCATTCCTCATCACTGATGACCCTGTCGTGATGTAGGATAGTAACAACCCACTTCTACTGTAAACATGTCGTACATCATCACCATTCCTCATCACTGATGACCCTGTCGTGATGTAGACTATACATCATGAGTATTTCCATAATTATTCATGAAAACACTTTACGATAACTCCATAGAACCATAAATTAGGGTCGAATGACGCTTAAAGAACACATTGGGCAACCAAAAATACAACGTACCGATTTAGATGTGTTGCCACTTATAAAAATTACATCGTCATTTGGGTATTGAAGTTATTACCTCCCCTTGGCGGTTAGATTGCTCTCCTTTAATTTGACAGCTATACCCGTAAATATAAAAGTATCCGAAAAATTTAATTTCACCTGTCACAAAAACTGTCGAGATAATAGCGATGTGTAACATAAACAGTAATTCTAACCTAAAGCACCTGCCAAATATATCTTGGTCACCTCCAGGTATAATCACATTCACACTGCAGGGCCTGGAAAAATGTCGTTTAGATTTATCTGTCTTTTTTCACTACCGCTCACTGCTTCCAAACGCAACACCTTTATTCTATGATTTTTATAGCTTTCTTATCAAATACAGGTGGCTGACGTCACAAGTGTGTTTCTGGAAGGATACGTTTACAGCAAAGATGGAATATTACGAGAATGTAAAAGCATGTGTAAGATAGACAATATCGTCGTTGAGATCGAATCCCCCTCCCCACCTACTCTTACATTTGCTTTTCTGTTTTTCATGATACTCTCAATTTAACGAACGTATCAAAACAGGTGACAAACACCTTGTTATGAAGCCTTCACTTCCATTTAAGGAAATATTGGCGATGCCTTAAGTTTTCTGACCATATCGATCGTACATATCTACATTGTGAACTTTTCATTTCAAACGGTTACAGCGTGGCATTAGATTCGATGTGCGGGGATTTGTTACAAATCCACGACTGCCATGACAGACTAGAGAAATAAAGGTTGAAAAAGACGATGGGAAAGTCTTATGTTCGTCTAACTCATCTTATAAGGACCTGGTTCTAAAGTGATAACATTACATTATTTACCTGGATTGACCAAAATTAACAAATGTCGTAAATATGGCTGATGATGTTTAGACTCACGGAACACCAGGTCTGATTTTCTTTATTTATTTATTTATTTATTTCATTTTCAACGGTGTCCGTGAAAATTTCTTTCCCTACGTGTTTAGTTTGAATGAAGGTTGTTTACATGTCAGTATTTCTATGTTTGTTTCTCCGTTATAATTTACTCTTATTTATCGGCAAAGACAGGTGTTCTGATTGATCCCTTCATCGAGAGTAACTGTAAGGTGTTTTTATCATTGATATTTATCAATACATGTATACAGTATTATTGATATACTTTATGTACTGAATCAACCTTAAGTGACTCGAGGTAAACATGACGTAGCTGTTAATTGTGCATTAGTTAACATATATACGACTTAAGTTGCCGAATGATTAAAGATATACATTTTATAACGTATATCAGAACATCTATAATATGATTTACAAATCACAAACAAATTGTCACCTGCTCCCCAAAGAAATGTATTATACACACACTATACACCTTACAGTCAATGAAATCACGGATGATCTACCGTAATCTCCCGTGTTTATGTGGTACCAGGTGTCAACACTTCAGTGAGGGACCTTTACAGATTCATCCCACAACCTCTAGTACATTATCATAGCGTTATTAGAATCCACTGGTACAGTGTTAGGAGTGACTTCGACAAATAGGAAGTTCATTTGCATATCTGACTATGAGAATCAGTGAATACGTCAACATAATGACAGATGTTAGCAGGATAGACACCCATTGCCGTCCACGCACCACCATGTGGTGCTCGTTTTCTCCTCCGTCTCATTTAATGAATTCACTAAAAAGAATATGAATCATGGGTAATGAAATACTGCATGATAAATGTTATACCAGAATTTAGGCGAGTTTTTGGGCAGATTTAAACAGGGTTGATATATTAGTCATTAATTACAGAACATGTTGTTTTTTTATCATAGATATATTGTAGACGTATCTCAGGTTGTTAGGCACTTTACGGGATTGTACAAATCACAAACAGGTTTCAATACAAAATTGTTTATAAGATACAGTTGCGCCAAACAGTGGATTAAACTGCATTTTACAACCGTCGCTAGGCGCCTATTTCGCGATCAAAAAATTGGGAGTAATACCTCAAATTCGAAATACGAACTACGAATATATATTTACATATAATATACGTAAATACGGAAAGCCAAATCGGGCAACACAAAAAACATTTTGTGCGGGATACAATAAACTTATGATTCAATAAATGTGGTAGGTTTTTTTTTTATATCGGATTTA